AATTTTGTGTTTATTGCAGTGAAACTTAAGGAATAAATTATGTAATTATAAATTCATTGATTGGATTTCCTTAGCCTGTTGAGAAATATTTCTTTTCAGATTAAGGAGGATATATGGAACTGCTAAGTAATGAATCAAAATGTCTTAAGTGAAACTGCTGTTTTCCTCAAAAAGTTTTCTATATTCTTACGTTTAGAACAATGCATTACCCTAGTAGTTTATCGTTCCTCAGGTGTTTTTGGGGAGGGTTGTTTTTGTTGTTATTTTGGTGGGGGGTTTTTTGTTATTGTTAGATCATGGTTTAATCTCATAGAAGCGGAGAAACAGCAAACTTTTCATCCCTTCATTTATTCATTCATTCAGCACCTATTATATGTTAGAGGTGACCTGATTATTGACCTTAATATTGGTGAACATAGTCTGATTGGGGAGACAGATATGAAATGTGATATACCATATTAAGTGCTTTGGGAGCAAGAAGGTAGATGAACTAACTTTGTTTGGGTGATTAGAGAACATTTTTACGGAGGAAGAACCCAAGCCTACTGCATTTCATAGTGCAGTAGCCTTGGACAGCAGGAGGCCAGAGGAGTAAGTGGGAATGAAATCAAGCCTCGATGCCAGTACCCCACCATATACCCAGTGAGGGGTTGTGTCTGGGATGTTGGGGCTCTTTTCAGTTTTACAAAGGCATTAACTGAGTTGATCTTGAGCCAAAAGCAACATGTGAGGTGGTGCTTAAAGAATGAGTAGGAATCAGCCAGGCAGAATCCTGAGTGGGAAACTTACAAGTCATAGAAGCAGCTGGCATGTCTGGAGAAGGATGAGAAGTTCAGTGGTTTAGATTTTATCTACAACGGTAGGAGAATTAACAGTATTTTTAATCATGGGAAGTCAACTCTCCCAGGAGTGTTGGATAAATGATGGCAGGGGGAACAGGAAGAACCCAGAGGAGAGGAAATGGTAACCTTTACTAGATAGCTAGGATGGGATGGAGAAAAGGTCAAGGAACCGGCAAAGGAGCCATGAGGGTGATGAAAGGGCCAGCACTGACTTCAAGGTTTTAATTCTGGATACCAGGGGAAGCGGCTTAGACTGGGTTGGCGTGGGGAGGGTGGGTATGCTAATAGGCACAGTTGGAAATACATAGAAGTGAAGGTTCTGGGAGGTAGTAAGAAAGAAGCAGAGGCTGTAAAGGCAGTCTTATAAAGCATTAGCACATGTGATGTGTAGTTAAAGCCATGGGCATGAATAGGATCCCCTGGAGAGAGCGTGTAGTCAGAAGAAAATAACCTGGAATACTAGTTGGCAATTAGCAAGGCACTGGTGACTGTAGTGAGAACGGATTGACTAGAGTACTAGGGATTAAGGTCACATTATAGTAGACTGAAGATTAAATAAGCATTACAGGATACAGTGGTTTTCATCCCCAGTTACACATTAGAATAATTACCTGTGAAGGTATTTTTAAAATATTTTCACAGGATCAATGCCTGTGTCCCACCTCTCAATATTCTGAGTTAATTGGTCTTCTGTCAGGCCCAGAAATAAGTATTTTTTTGAAAAGTTTCCCAGATAGTATTAATGGAGAGTCATAATTAAGAACCACTGCTCTTGACAATTCTTTTAATAATTATAAATAAACTCCCATAGCTAGCAAGCATATGATGAGATGCTTAAAATTACAGGGAATCAAAGAAGTACAAAATTTTTCAAAGGCGAAGGGTCTTGATATTCTATTAAACTGGCAACAATTAGAAAGCTGGATAATTCCTAGTGTTCTTATTCAGTGGCACACAGCAGCTCTTACACACCACTGACAGTAGGTAGGCTGGCATAACCATCCTGGAGAGCAGCTTTGCCAAATTCACTCTTTGACCTAAGAGTTCTACCACTGGAGACGCATCCCAGGGAAATTCTCCCATGGGACCATAAGGGAACGTGCACTAGCATGTTCCAGTGCAGGATTATATACAGCAGGAAGAATTGGGGTAATCTGAATGGCCTTCACTGTGAGAGTGGGTTGGGTAAAATTGAGTGGATATACTCCATAAGAAGCATGGATTAGATATATAAAATAGTAACGTGTATATACCTATGTAACAAACCTGCACATTCTGCACATGTATCCCAGAACTTAAAGTATAATAAATAATAATAATAATAATAAACAAGCTCAGTAAAATCGCAAGGGAATTTCAAAGTTTCCTTATATATAGCACATTTGGGGAATAAAAAGGGAAAATCTATTAGGTTTTTTAATAAATTCATTTATTCATTAACAAAAAAAAAATAGTACATGGATGGATCTTTTCTTTTTTTTTTTGAGATGGTGTCTCACTCTTGACACCATGCTGGAGTGCAGTGGCACAATCTCAGCTCACTGCAACTTCTGCCTCTCAGCCTCCAGAGTCACTAGGACCACAAGCTATCACCACCACACCTGGCTAACTTTTGTATTTTTTAAAAATAGAGACATCCATTTGGTCAGGATGGTCTCGATCTCTTGACCTCATGATCCTCCCACCTTGGCCACCCAAAGTGCTGGGATTACAGGTGTGAACCACCGCACCTGGCCAATCTTGAAAACATAATGCTAATTTAAAACATAGTAACAAATGAGAAACATAATATCACTTACATAAAAATACATACAAAACAATGAAAATATATGTTTTGGAAAAACACACTGAAATAAAAATCTAGACACTATATCATTGAAGTGATTGCCTACACATAAGAAGAAAAGAAAATCAGTGATTGCCTTCACTGATGAGAGTGAAGACGTTTCATTTAAAAGTGTGATTTCAAGAAAGGATGAGATAAGAGGGAGGCTGAAGGAAGAAAAGAGGTCAAGGGAAAGGGTGTATGTGAGTGTGTGTGGGTGTGTGTGTGTGTTTGTTTTAATAGGAGAAAGAGTTGTAAGTGTGTGGATGAAATAAAGACTCCAATACACGTCTCCCCCTAATTTATGCACAGTGTTGGTAATAGTTGAAAGTTGTGTCCAAGTAGTATTCCTTTCTTTATTCTTCCCCGATCTTAAATTCATTTGACTTTTTCTCATTACTAAAGCAGTATGTGTTTTACAGTTATACCAGAAAATTGGCAAGCAAAATAGAAAGTTCCGTGAACCCACCCACCCAGAAACAGCATCCAGATCCTTTCCTAGGAATATGCTGCCAAGTTAAATTTTGTCACCTGAGTGTATTTTTTGCTGAGCAGTGCTTTGTGAGCTTCTCCTGTGTCGTAAGGAGACATTAGTGCAACTTCATTCTAATGGCTCATGGTGTCCTGGGATACCGATACACCGTTATTAACGTCCACCTTCCTTCTTCTGGACATCAGTTATTTTTGGTTCTGCCACCCCAAACACTGCAATAAGCAAACTTAAGCTACCTACCTTTGAGGACGATTTTCTATCCTTCATTTGGCTCCTTTTTCAAAAGAGGCTTAAGGATTGGATTTGAAATTGTCTCAGAAAGTAAAATTCACTCAGCATTATCCAAGTCAGAGTACCTGTTCCCTTTGGAACTGTTCTAGGGCCAGTCAGGAATGTGAGTGAAGGAACAGGGCCATTCCCCAATGTCTGGACACAATGTAGGTACTTGTCACTGTGCCACAGTTCAATATGGGCTCCCTGGTTTCTGTACTTTAATCAATGATGCACAATGAAATCCCATAAACTGTTAAGAGAGCCAATGTGGAATGTATGCATTACCTCAAATGTGACTGATTATTTCATGGGTAGGTAGTGAAACAGGATGCACTGAGCTTTTAGAAAATTTCAAGAAATCACTGTTTATGCTATAGGACCAAAGTAGGTTCTTATATTTATACCCAGTGCCCCAGTAGTTAACAGAACAAGCAAGCCCAGGGGAAAGTGCAGTATGTTTTTCTGAGTACTTCCTACCCTGCAAAAGCCCCCCAAACCAGTAGTTTTGGAGATAGAATTTAATCCTTCCAGTTGGTAGGTTTAAGCCTGAGAATTCCAGTGCCAACGTTTCTCCAGGCTTTGATGGTTAGGAACTGGCCAGACAGCTCTGCAGCCAGCTTGTCAAGGCCCTGAAGAAGTAGCCTGGTTATTGGAGACAGGTCTCTTCACGGCAGGAATCCACTATCATTTTTAGATCATCAGTACAGCAACTGTTATGTACGGTAGCAGAAGAAATGCACTTCTGTCTTTTTGAACTAGTCATTTGTTGTCAAGAAGCTCGGAATAGTCAGAGCTGTTCCCAGGGCCTATTTTGCAGCTCTTGAATGTATTCTCCAACCTATGTATATATTAACGTATAACCATGTCCCAAAGAATTCACACTGCACAGCGCTGTGCTTTTGGCAGACAAGGAAAGCCTTCACATGAGTTACAGTTGATAGGGCGAGAGAAGCTCAGGGCTTACAAAAATCCCTTCAGTGGCCCTGCTTAAAAATAGCAGTGTAGGCCATAGCTTAGTGTTTTGACAGTTTATATCAGCAGTTTTCTCAGCTGATATATTGATTGCAGTTTGGACTTCAGTCCTGCTGATCTAATAAAACATCACCATCATAACAGAGAAAGTAAAAGGATCTTTTGTGGTCCCAGCCACTTGGCAAAGTAGCTTTATAGAATTACTGTAAATCTAGCTTTACTGTAATATGTGAAATGAAGCAATATTGGACAAGTTAATTAAATTTTTATTTAATTTTTTCATCTATCAATGTTATATATTAGCACTACCCTATATATTTTTTACAAATAGGCATTTGCTCAAAGGAATATAATGATGCCTTCACAAATATGAAAACAAGTTTTGCACATTGGTGTCACAAACAACATAACCGTGTGTCAAAAACTGCAGTGCCCCGATACTTAGTGGGGAAAACACACAAGGTCAACTGAGGTCTGAATGCAGCTTCAAGACATGTAAAAATCTTCTACTTATACTTTTGCATGGGTTTCATGGATATTTTTAAATCATCTGACCTTCAGTCCTACTTACGCTAAATATCCTTTAATTTCACAGCAATTGCTAACCATCCAGGAGGAATTAAACAACAAAAAGTCAGAATTGGAACAAGCAAAGGAAGAGCAGTCACATACACAAGCGTTACTAAAAGTCCTCCAGGAACAAGTAAGTGAATGAAACAGCTCTGATTTATGAATCAGTTCAAACACCCCAATGCATACCTCCCTTGTGCGTCACCAGTGCAAACATTTACTGAAAGTAATCTGCAGTACAATTAGCCTGAACCCTGTCTAACCTCCTAGCAGCTTTGCTATGCAGAATTTATCATCTCATTCTCAGCATCACTGTCCTCACTCCTGTACCTGTTTAGATTGCCCAAGCCTGCCAGTGTTGTGTGAAAGCTTCTTCCAGAAGCCAACCAAATTTTGATAAAGTTTTAAAATACTGGCTATGAGGTATGTTTCAAAGTTTCAAAGTAAGCAGCTGGTTTCTTCTTAAGTCTAACAGTGAGGAAAATGAGTTTAGCATAACCCATGAGACTCCTGCAGACACATGAACAAGGACTGATTCATAGCAACACTTAAAAAATATCTTCCCTGTGCATCACGGTACTTATCTAACCGTGGTGAGCAACAGACCTTTTATATGGAGTTTGTAAATCTGATCATTTCATTCTGGCTTTCTTTGATATGAAAGTGTGGCCTGACATTGATAAGTGGATTGGAAAGCATTGTCTTACGGCAGGGTAAGACGGAGCACTCGGCAGGCAGCAGAGTGAAATCTAAGCCCACTATCTACATGAGAGGAGCCAGGAGAGCTCTTGAAACGCCTTCCTATTTCTGGCCTTCACTTGCTGCCAACAATATATGAATGGTAATTTGAAGGAAGAACCCCAACCCTCTGTGGGTAACGAAATGCCGATTGTTTTAAATTTTTCACTCATACATCCTGGTTTTATATTGTATAAATAACCTTACACTGTATAAATAACTTCAAAGGTGACATTTGAGAATATATCAAGTCAGCTCTATGTCACTTTATGGGTGATTTTTTTTTAATGCTTTGGGGTCCAGAAAATATCTTATTTTCTCCTAAAGGTATGATTGATTTGTGAGGGGAAAGTAAAGATATCAGTTTATAAACTTTTATAGCTTTGGAAGAAAATACTTCATAAAACTAATAATTATCTTTATGTGATGAAAACAGGTTCAGTAACATGTACTGAGGCTGGCACTATGATTTCGAATATAACAGATTGAAGTGAAAAATCTAGTTGACTAAATTTACAATGGCCTGTAGTTGAGGAGATCTGAAATCACTGCCCCTTCCACTGTTATAATATGAAAAGACTCCCAGCTTTTTGGAACTGAGTTGGTCCAAATTTGCTCCAAATCAATCAGATATAGTTCTGAGCTTTTGTTTTTCCTGCTCTCTCACCCTGATTTTTTTCCTTTTAGATAGCTTTGACTGGAATGGGGAAGGGTGAATTTCTCTTTCCTCTAAATGACTCAAATCTTTTATTTTGATTTTAAGTCCAAACCCTAGTCATAAAACTAGATTCTGGGTTTTGCAGAAAGTATTGATATATCTTGTTATGGCATGCATTTTTAAAGAGCAAAGCACACACAGGCATGGGTGAAACATCACACTTCACTCTCCATTATTTGAAAAAAAGAGAACGTGAAGAGGATTTGAAACAACTAAAGTCATTAAAGACCTAGAAAATATGATTGAGAAGGAAGAATTTTGAATCTGCGATATTAATTTAAATGGGATAGCTCTTTCCAAGCAAAGACACCAAGAATCTTTAAGCCTGAGACACCAAATATTTTTGGGTGCTGGTACCATTACCAAGCAGTGTACAGGTTCCTTCCAGGCCCCTGCACCCACACACAGATGTGCACTGACAGCCACACCTCTCACCTCCGCTGACCATTGCCTTTGAGGCTTTCTTTGGATTTGTGCAGAGTAACTCCATGTGCAAACAGTTTCAGCGGCCACATAGATGTGGCCTAAACAAATGGACAGATGCAGGGAAAGATACACCCTTCTCTGAAGATTTAGGATGTTGCTATTAATGGGATTGCCCCTTGCTGGGAATCCTGACAAGAAAGGATAGGTCTTGGGGGCAGACCTTTCCTACCCTCAGGCCCAACCCATCCAAGGAAGGACCAGCCACTCCCTAAGCTCTCAGTCTTCCCATACGCGAAGATGCAGCTTCTCTAGGTCGCTCCAGGCCCCACTGATTCCTGTCTTTCATCTCCTTTGCACTGAGGATAGCTTTCTACATCTGGAGCTTGTTCACAAACCTAAGTTTCCTCAGACAAGATGTGCAGCCCTACCTGGGGAAGAGTAGCAGCTAAAGGAGAGAAGAGCAGGGAGCTGAGGGAACAACAAAGCAGCAACTGTCCTGAGCTGCAGCTCCAAGGGAGGAGAGGGCGATGTGCAGTGGGAGGGCTTTCCTCCCGTGGTTCTGGCTACAGAGCACACCGGAGTGAACAATGCCAGGAGACAGGGAGTGAGGGAGAGTAAACAGGAGCAGAAACAGCGAGGGCAGAGTTAGAGGACATCATGGAATAGGAAGAATGGAGTTTATTTAAGAGGGAGGAGAGCAACTGGCACATTTATGTTGCTGAACACGTAAAGGTGGAACAGACATTCATGAAATAGTCCTTTACTTCTACTGAGAAAGAGCAAGACCTTCTGAGCTAACCCCACTCTAACTCATGGGAGCACAAACTGCAGGATCCAAAGTGGGATGAGCAGAAGGGTTGATGAAGAAGATGATGATGCAGGACACCTGCAATAAGAAACCTTCAGCTAGGAAAAGAGCTGGGTGGGGTGGGGGGGGTGGGATTTTAGAAAGTCCTTTCGTGTCCTGTGATAATAGGTAGTGTTCCTATCACTGTAGCACACCTCTGCCTTGTCATATACGCCATACATTGCCCATGCTCCCCTGTCTGTCATGTGTAGAAACATCAATGATGTTGCCCTGAAGGACAGTGGGCAGATTTTTTTCTTAAATGGGTGTGATATGGAAATGAGCCAAAGAGCCTTTGGTCCATAATCAACTACTTGATCCTCAGTTTCTTCATGTTACCATTCTTTTGGCAAAACCCCTCCTTTGGCATGGAGCAGGTAGGGCTTTTTAGCTGGGAGTTTAAGACTGGCTTTAAAAATCTAAAGACACTTTCATTTTCATATGCACAAATAGAAGGAACCAGTGTTCTGAATCAAACACATTGGTGGTATATGTGTATTGATTTTCTTTCAACTCTTAAAGTGTTTTTTCCTACCGTGAATATTTTGTATTAGGCACAAAAAAGATAATGGAGGAGATGCTGCTTCCTAAGCCAGGAAAAAATGCTGGCAAAACAGCTGCAAACCTGCTCACCCTCTTCCTTTGCTGTCAGATTCTAAATGTCTGTTTTGAGTCAGGATAGGATAAAACGCCAATTAAAGGGTTTCTGAAACCTCCAGATAACCGATTACTCCTAAGCCTCTGAGAAAGAGAAGTGTTTTCAAATGTTCACTGTTAAAAATCTCATTTGAGAAATATCATTTCTTCTAATGCTTCAGTGGCCAAGGAGATGTCATCCAAACTCTTTCTCTACCAAAGAAGCAGCCGTCTTTAGGCCTCCAGAGATGTCAGTCATTCAAATATATTCTCAAGGAAGACATGTCTAGTAGCACGGCAGCATGTTAAAAGCGGCTAAAAATGTATCATTCACGAATAATCGTTAATATAACATCATTTTGCTGGTGGCAACTTGCAAACACTGCAGGGTTTAAATTAATAGCAATCCAACTAGGAAATGAAATCATTTATTATTCTTAAGAACCAATCTTATACATTTTATGCCTATGGAACTGCTTTCTAATCTTATTATTTAAAAAATAATGACCAAGACCCATTTATTCGTTTGCCAGGCATCAAGCTTCATAAAATATTGGTCTCAAACTGGCTCCAATAAGGCTCATTAGAAATATGTGCTCCATCTGTTTTACCTCATTGGAAGTTTTATAAAATGCAACCTCAGATAAATCAGTTAACAAGATGATATGTTTAAGAGATTTGCTTGCTTATTCGTTATTTTGTTTCACGTTGTTTTTCCTTCAAATTTGCAGTTAAAAGGTACCAAGGAATTGGTCGAGACCAATGGCCACAGCCATGAGGATTCAAATGTATGTACCACAAACCTGGTATTTGCTCTTCCTGCTTGGTGTTGGTTGAACACATGGGGATGTGGCACTTTATCTACAACTTGGAGGAAATCAGAAGCTCTGCCCCTCAGCAATTTAAGATTAATATGTAGGGTTTGGCAAGAAAGTGTGGTTGACAGGCACTGCTATTGTTAGCCTAGTTTATCAAATGTCAATTTAGAAGTATGTGAGCTAATCCCCACCATCAAAAAATCTAATCTCAGTGAGTCTGTTTGAGCTCTTAATATTTCCAAAACTATGACTGATGATATAGTGGGAGGGAAATGGAAAGAGACCTGACAGGGTAATCAATTGTTCACTGCATGTATATTCATTAAGTTTGCCTGCCAGTGAAGGTGGTACTTAAATGATTGACATGCTGAAAAGATCTCAGAGCAAACCCCTTCTCTCAGAATAGCCCTTGAAATTGCACCTCTTTTCTGTTCCTCACCCAGAACAGTAGCACGGTGCATCCATCTTCTTGATAGAGAATAATGTGTGATGGTACAAGATCTCAGTTACACCGTGACTTCCTCTCTTAGTTTTCCTTGAATATCCAATTGTCAGAATGGAAACAAGTATTCTTTTTGGCTTGAAACTTCTTTAGTCTCAGATGGAATATTAGACCATTTAGATCATTGCCTCTCCATATGTTTGATGATTTTGTCTTTTTAAAATCTCTCTGATATCTGTATGTATTTGATCATCCTCATCATAGAAAATGCTTACTAAGCAGTTCTTTTCACAGAACACAGAATTAGACAGGATAATGCATGCCTGATTACACTGGAGCTAGGAGAAATTATATATTTCTTGTTCACTTTTGTTTTAATGATATACAACAGAGAGCCTAATATTCAGAGCATCCAAAAAAAATCCCACTTAATCATTACTGTTCCTACCCACCAGATATTTAACATATCATGTTTATTGAGGACTTTTATGTTCATAGGTGCGCTGCTAAGTTCCAAGAGGACAGAAATGGGGATAACAAAGAAATATATGACTTGTTGTTGCCCTCGGGGAACTTATAACTGAGCTAACGAATTAAGAAACACATGATATACAGGAGGTGATAAGCATACAGGAAGTTGAGGCAGCTATGATGTGATATAGTCAGAAGTCCAGACTTTGCTGCTTATCAACTGTGTCAGCTTGACAAGTTATTTAACCTCTCTGAGCTTCCTTTTTCTCACTTGTAAAAAGAATGACAAAGCCTATCTAAAAAACATGTCATAATATTGTAATGAGCTAAGGCCTGGGAAAACCTTAAGGTGGTTACCTGTATGATTTCTTTGTGCTAGATAATCAAGAAAGGCTTCCTGGATCTGTGGGACTTGAGTTTGGCTTTGGGGAGTGAACAGGATTGAGAAAGTGGAAAGCCAGAGGAGGAACCGTTCATACAGAGCTCCCCATAGGCAGTGCCATGTGACATAGTTTGTCTTTGCACTCTAATATTCATGACCCCCGTCCTTACCCTAAAGCCCTTCTTCAGGATCCTGTCTTTGAGGGACACGTGGCTGCCACATTCTCAACCAAGACCTTCATATCCACTCCACATAGGGCCAGTCCCCCTGTGGCTTCCAGGGAAGCTGCTCTCTGTTCCAGTAAGCCAAACAAAGTGGCAGTGGGCCTCCTTTTTCTAGTTTGTGAAATGGGGATGATATCTCCTACCTTGCCTTCCTTTTTTTTTTCTTTTTTATTTTAATGAAAGAAAGAAAGAGAAAGAGAAACGGAGAGAGAGAACAGGAGTCTTTCTCTATTGCTCAGGCTGGAACACAATCTAAAAATAGGTATTAAAAACCTCTTTTATGCCAATAATTGTACTTAACAATGGCGACTGGAAGGAATAAGGGAAGAAAATAACAAAAACAGCCAACCAATATTTCATTTAAATATGTGAAATGCTATGCAAATGCTGAAGGGTGATTTATTTCCATTTATATGGTCACTTTCAAAATAGGTGTAAAGTAATACTGAAAAAAAATGTATGTTCTGTGGACCTGGGGTGAAGAATTCTATAGATATTCACTGAGTTTACTTGTTCCAGATCTAAGTTCAAATAATAAATGTTTATTTTCTATCTCGTTGATCCGTCGAATATTAACAATGTGGCGTCAAAGTCTCCTGCTATTATTGTGCGGGAGTCCAAGACTCTTTATAAGTCATGAAGTACTTGTCTTATGTATCTGGGTGTTTCTATATTGGGTGCGTATATATTTATGATCATTGACTCCTGTTGTTGCATTGATCCTTTTACCATTATGTAATGTCCGTCTTTGTTACTATTAAAGTCTATTTTGTCAGAGACGAAAGTTACAACTCCTGTTTTGTTTTGTTTTGTTTGTTTTCCTCCCCATTTGGTTGGTGAGTCTTCATCAAACCTTTTGTTTTGACTCTTGGTATGTCCTTGCTTATGAGATGGATCTGGATACAGCATGCCGAAGGGTTTTGACTTTTTATTCAATTTGCGTGTCTGTGTCTTTGATTAGGGCATTTAATCCATTTAAATTTAGGATTAATATTGATATTTGTGACTTTAATATTGTCATTTAATGCTAGCTGGCTATTTTGCCCATTAGTTGATATAGATTCTTCATTATGGAGATACTCTTTACCTTTTGGTAAGTTTTTGGGATGACTGATACTGGTTGTTCCTTTCTCTGTGTAGTGCTTCTTTCAGAAGCTCTTGTAAAGCAGGTCTGGTGGTGATGAAATCTCTTGAGTGCTTGCTTGTTCGTGAAAAATTTTATTTTCCCTTCATTTATGAAGCTTAGTTTGGCTGGATATGAGATTCTGGGTTGAAAATTCTTTTCTTTGAGGATACTGAATATTGACCCCCACTCTCTTCTAGTTTGTAGGGTTTCTGCTGAGAGATCTGCTGTGAGTCTGATAGGTTTCCCTTTATGGGTAACCTGACCTTTCTCTCTAGCTGCCCTTAGAATTTTCTCCTTTATTTGAACCCTGGTGAATCTAATGATTATGTGTCTTGGGGTTGCTCTTCTTGAGGAATATCTTTGTGGTGTTCTCTGTATTACCTGGAGTTGAGTATTGTCCTGCCTTACTAGGTTAGGAAAGTTTTCCTGAATAACATCCTGAAGAACATTTTCCAACTTGGATTCATTCTCTTCATGACATTCAGGTACACCTATCAAACGTAAATTAGGTCTTTTCACATAGTCCCATATTTCTTGGAGACTTTGCTCATTCCTTTTTACTTTTTCTTCTCTAATCTTGTCTTCCCATTTCATTTCACTAAGTTGGTCTTCGACCTCTGATATCCTTTCTTCTGCTTGATCAATTCAACTGTTAAAAACCTATGGATACTTCTCAGAGTTCTCTTATATTCTTCAGTTTAATTAATTCACTTATATTCCTCTGTAAATTGTCTATTCTCGTTAGGATTTCATCAAACCTTTTTTCAAGGTTCTTAGTTTCTTTACATTGGGCTAGAACATGTTCTAACTCACAAAAGTTTCTTATTATCCACCTTCTGAAGCCTAATTCTCTTATTGGAACACACCTATTCTTCATCAGGCCTTGTTCGCTTGTTAATGAGGAACTGTGATCCCCTATAGAGGGAGAGGCATTCTGATTTGGGGTATTCTCAGCCTTTTTATGCTGGTAACACAGTATCTAGCCTATAGGCCCTTTTTGAAAAATTTTAAAAGTCATTACCATTCAATGGAAAAAGTAAAGGGAGATAATCTTTGTGGTCTTTGTCCCTTCAGTAGGAAAGTTTTCAGCTTTTTAAGATACCTATCTAGAGTCTGTGATGTAGGCTTTGTAATCAACTCAAAGAAATGACTGTTGAGAGATCGGGTTCTGACCCAGTAGGAGGGGAGAGCAGCACCTTGACCTAGGGTGGGGGAGATATTCATGAAGTGACAGAGCCTGACAGTCCTTACCAGTCGCTGCAGGCCGCCACCTCCCTTCCTAGGCAGACGGCTGGGCTAATCTTAACAATCACTGCCTGTTGTGTCAGGGTTTCCTGGTTGGTGGATTATTCACTCATCCTCTTTTCTGTGTGAACTTTGTCTCTTTTGGCAGTTTCCCTAGTACCTCTACTAGGGCGTGTGAAAAAGAAATAAAAATCAATTATTTTGCTCTCACATTAGGAGCACTAGCAAAATATTTTGCAAATGTATTCTTAAATGTCTGAAATGAAGTCTACATCTCATCTGAAGTTGCCACCAGCCTTGTGGCGGTCAAAAGCGATGAGGCTTTCAAATCAGACTGAGACGGTTTGAATCCATTTTGATTACTGAGTAGACATGTGACTGAGGCAAGTTATTTGAACTTTCTGAACTTCACATTCCTCATTTGTGTGTTAAGTGAAGCCATGTACATTAACACCGAGCCTAACATATTCAACAAGTATTAATTATCTTTATGCATCAATAGTATTTAATATAGGCTGGGTGTAGAGGTTCATGCCTGTATTCGTAGCCCTTTGGGAGGCCGACGTGGGCAGATCTCTTGAGCCTAGGAATTCAAGACCAGACTGGGCAATATTGTAAGACCTCAATCTCTACAAAAACATAAAAATTAGCCAGGTGTGATGGTGTGCACCAGTAGTACCAGCTACTTGGGAGGCTGAAGCAGGAGCCCAGGAGGCAGAGGTTGCAGTGAGCAGAGATCGCACCACTGCACTCCAGCCTGGGTGACAGAGAGAGACCCTGTCTCAAAAACAAAAAAGTATTTAATATAGTTGAAAGGACTTTGGCAGGATAAATTTTAAGGCCACAAAGTTTAAAGCCTCTGGCCCAAAGGCTATTGAGTGAGACAAATAAATTATTTTTCTTTACAGTTGTTTACATCTGGGGGCAGGAATTTTATGCATTATCATTTATTAATAACAGTTATACAGTGGACTGGTACCAGCCTAGCTGGGTGTTCTTGTGAGAGCTGAGAATTTAAAAAAAAAAAAAAACAGTGTTTTACTATAAAAGTAAAAAACAAAGTATGTTTGAAGCTTGAAA